TTATGTTCGAATGTTTGAATAGGAAGTTAGAAGGGGAGTTGTAACTTTGATGGCCAGTTATGTATCTCATCTTTCTATATATTTGCTTTATGTAGTTTGGATAGGGTGTGTGTATTCTTTTGGGAGATACCAAAAGTAAAATCATGTTTTTGGGAGATACCAAAAGTCAGTTTGGGGATAGAAAGTTATGCTTAATCTCAAATTAACTAGAGCTAGGAGATATCAATGGAATATAAATGAAAATAATTATCTCTAATGGTACGAGGCCTTTTGGGAGATACCAAAAGTAAAATCATGAGAACAACTAAAAAGGCTTCCTAAATCATAGATTTCTTGACAAGTTACTCAATCACGTTCTGAAAACAATTTCCAAATCAAAGAAAAAAGCTACAAGAAATTCAATAGATCAACTAGAGATTTTTTCTTTTATTGCATACAGAAATATCTAAGATGCTACTCCATCCGACTTAAATAGGAAAAAGAACCATTTTATTGATGTAGTGATGTATACAAAAAAATTCCTATCAACATCACGCGAAACTAACCTCTAAGCACATAATATAATATAATATAATATAATAGGAAGCTAGGAATGAATTCAGAAGTAGAGCACATGGGAGATAGGGTTTGCAGGGAAGAGAGAATCAGAAGGGAAAAGAACAAACTTGAAACCGCTGCGATGTTGGAACTTTTTCCCATGAACCCTTCTGCATGAGGCGGCTGCCACGTGTCAAGACAGCAGGCATTCGTATATTGAGAATGAGATATGCAGCTGGGCTGGTCTCCGCCGAGCTTTCTTCCCTATGCTTAAAAAAGAAAATACCTGCATGGTTTTACCAAATTTCTATAAACGATGTAAATTTCACTATCATTCGGTAGTAAAGAAAGAAGAGAAGAGAAGAGAAGAGCCACTGTAATAGAAAATAATTAAGTTAGAGCTTTAACGTGAAACTTGAGTAATATTACATTCCTAATACAAAGTTTCTTCGGAATGATGGTTTAGAAAATGATAACCTATTGGCATAAGATTTGAAGGAGACAAAATAATATCAAGGTTTAGATCACCTTGTACTTTGAGATTTATACTGATAATAAGTTGAGTACCGTTCTAATGATCCCGGGAAACCAACCACATCCAGCCATCCCAACTGTTTCCTATGATAATTTGCAGGACATTTCTGCATTCAGAATCACATCTTTTTGTTCGGAAGCTTCAATCATTACTCCCGCTAGTCTATAGGTGAAGGGTGGGTTAGAATGTTTTCAAAACCAGAAAGTTCTTAAAACTAAATCGCCTATCTGATTCTTCTCTCCTGAAACTACTTTCATTTCACTAGGCAATAAACGTCAATCAAAGTATGGAATGAATCAAAACGATCCATCACATCTACGCGGCACCTTTGTATGGAATGAATCTGTGGCAAGAGAGACCATCTAATTAGCAAAGAATTTGTACACGTAATGTCTTCTTAGAAGAATTTCTTTCATTAAATGCACTCACCATTGTAACAGCAGGGCAAATTTCACTCAATATGCAAAAAAATGAACACCTGATCTTCATCACAGAAACGAAATTTCATCACCCACTAAGCCAGGCAACAATGACTAACTATAGACATCTTTTTGTGCGTAAAAAATAGAGAGAGACCTGCAACCCATTTTCATATGGGGTTAAACTCATAAAAATTAGGAAACAGCTTGAATTACAAACTAAAGTCATTCCCATGAAATTTCTTAGTATGATGATTTATCAACTTTTTGAAACCACATGAATGGATTGTATTTTATCAATTGCAAAGGTTTGTACATCTGAATAGATCATTCTTCCTATAACCTTATGAGTTAAAAACAGCTCAATTTAACATCAGACCATATCATAGACAGCTATATAAAAACAGGAAGCAGAAGAAAGACAAAGCAAGAGTCAATTAGGTCAATCAAACAAAAGAAAACGATAAATAAATGAAATCACCAAAGTACACTGTACACCAATGTCTAGTAAAGTAACCCATGTCTCAACTCTAAGTTGAAAAGAACATACCTACATCCTTGAGTAGAAACCCCTCGAGATTCAATTAGAACCAGCAGAAAGGTTGAGCCCATTTGACATTCATAACATCATAAAGATTACATTATGATCGGCTGGCCTTTGATGTGCTTTTTCGCCTCTTAATCAGCCCTTCCATCAAACTTAGATAAGTATATCTGTTTAAAACAACACCTTTCTTTGTAACTTCATCAAAAAGATGCATTGCATCCTTATACTTATGCTGATTACACAGTTCATTTATCTGATCCGAGTAAGCCATAGACTTGGAATCAATGTGCTCTGGAATTTCAGAGGTTGCCACACTCTGCCCTTTGTCCAATTTAAAATTCTGGTCATGCAATTTTCCTGATTCAACCATTTTCAACATAAACTTCTCAGCCTCATTAATCCTCGCAGCATCTGTTAGTGCACCAAGAATTGCATTGTATGTATACTTATCAGGTTCTAATTTTTTCTCTTCCATGTCTGTGAGAAGATCATAAGCATTCTCAAATTTCCCTTCTTTGCACAGGCTAGATATTAAGGTATTATATGTAACTACATCAATGTCTTTGCCTTTCGAAACCCAAGTATTGAACAGTTTAAGAGCCTTCTCAAGCATACCCTCTCTACATAACCCACAGAGAAGAATATTGCAAGTAAAGACATCTGGCTTGAAAAAATTCTCAACCATTTTGTTGTGGAATTGGAATGCTTTTTCCACATTCCCTTCCCAACAATAGCCATGAATAATTATGTTGTAAGTAGTTTCATCAGGGACTAATCCACTCTCAAGAAGCTCATTCAGCTTATCTATAGCTTGATCTGTTTTCCCCGACTGACATAGTCCTCCAATCACAGAATTATAGGTGACAATACTTGGAAGAATCTGTCTCTCCTTCATTTCATCCCAAAGACTTAAGGCTCTGTTTTCCTTTTCATCTTTGAAGTAACCCATGATCAGAGTACCATAGCTAATCTCATCGATAATATAGCCCCGCTTACTAGCGCTGCACAGTAACTTATATGCCTCATCAAGCTTTTTCTCCCCACAGAGAGAATGGAGAATGGTATTCAGGGTACAAGTATCTATTTTCAAACCTTTCCTGGTCATTTTGTCCATCATTTTAAACGCTTCTCCCATTTTTCCATCTTTACAATAAGCATTTATAAGAGTATTGTACGTAACGCAATCAGGGGAGAATCCATTTTCTTCCATTTTCTGGACAGTGTTAGTTGCTTCATTCATGTTACCTTCCTTGCACATCCATTTCAACATTATATTGTAAGTAATTGCATTACACTTTAGTCCTTTCTTATCCATTTCTTCAATCAAACAGTACGCCTCCGAACTACCCCGCCACTCAAAACACCCATCAATCAACGTGTTATAGGTAACCACATCAGGCAACATTTTCATCTTCTCCATCTCATCTCTCAACCTAAAAGCTTCATCAATCTTACCATCATTACAAAACCCACTAATCAACATATTATAAGTCCAAACATCAGGCAACAAATTATTCTGCGTCATTAGTTCGATCACCTTTGTTGCCTCCTTCAACCACCCCAATTTGCAGTACCCAGAAACCAAAATATTATACGTATTCTTATTAGGCAACAGCCCTTTATTCTTCATGTCCAACAGCAAGTCTCGCGCCTCATGTAACTGCCCCTTCTTGCACAATGCATCCAATATCGTATTATAACTCACATTATCTGGTACACAGCCAAACTCACCCATTTTATTCACCAAATCCAAAGCATCCTTAAATTTACTCTCCAAGCAATACCCATATATCAAAATATTGAAGCTATTAGTATTCAGCACCACACCCAGTTTAACAGAATCCTTGAATACCTCTCTAGACAACAGAATCGAATTCAGAGAAGGATATCTTACCAAAGAATTCAGCAACGTGTTGCATGTGAGCAAATTCGGCCGGTAATTAAGCCGCTTCATCTTCTTGAAAATTTGGGCAGCCAGATGGGGCTTGCCCATTTGCACATATGCGCCAATGGAGGTATCCATAAGAGCCTTGGACGGCCTGGGAAGATCACGAGTTGGATGAAGAATCAACTTATGAAGTTCATGTTGGCGATCATCGGCAATGAAGGACACAAGAAGGGATTTGGCATCAGAGAACTTGTTGTGACTGAACAGAGATGGCAAGATGGTGAAGAGAGAAGAAAGAGAGTTATTTGGCGGAGAAGAGAAGGAGGGAACATGCTTCTGAGCCCACTTGAAGAGAGAGAGGAGAATAGTGGGATGAGAACTCAGAGCTTTAGAGGATAAAATGGAGGAGACGAGGGAAGGGGAAAGGTGAGCGGCGTAAGGAGCGAGTGCTGTGAGAGGCGCTTTGGTGGAAGTGAGAATCGTTGTGATGGTTTGAATCAGTTCCGGTGGTCGCTGGTTTGAGATTGAAGGAGTTTCCATGGCCTCCCCAACAATGGCGCCTAGGGCTTTAGCATTAAGAATCTCAAAATCCCACCCCTAAGGAGAAGGAGAAAGAGAAGAAGGGTTACTTTTTTCTTTAATGCCTGGTTTAATAAAAATACTATTTTTAAACTTCAAAATAAATCTTCTTAATATTTTATTTAAAAAATAACTATAAATTTCGAAAATAGTTTATTAATACATTTAAAAAAATTAAAAATTTAAAAATATTCCTCAATTTTTAAGAATAATAGGAGGATAATTTTATTTTAGTATATATATTAACGATAAGAATTTTTTTTAAATTTTTTAAAAAGATAAATAGTTTAGTCCTATTTTTAAATTTTATAATATTTTTTAAATATAACGTGGATAATAAAGGTATTTTTTTTTTATTTTTTTTAAAAATTAAAGGTATTATTGAAACTTTTAAAATTAAAAAAATATTTTTATTAATAAATAATTATTATTTTTATTAATTTAATATTTTTAAATTTGCTACCGAATATATACAAATAGTGGGTAAGGAATTATACCCGGAAAGGGTAAAGTTCCTCGCTCCTCTCTTCCAGCATATTGACCATTTTCAAATTCATCAAAATCAAAACTCGCTTCATCAATTCCAAAAGCTCTCACGAATCAGCGCCTTCTTCTTCCTCCTTCTCCTTCTGAAACAGAGTGAAAATTTTGAACTGTATATGGAATTATGGGACTGAGGTTTCGAATCTGTAGCCATACCCACAAGGTGTTCGATGAAAATCCTCAGTGGGTTTTTCTTCACACTATTTGTTGAGCTGAAGGCAAGTCTTTCTTCTCTCGTCCTGCTCTAATGCTATTTGTTTACCCGTTTGAGATAGAATGAGTAATGGCAAGTCAGCTGCAAATTTGGTGAACTTTCAGACTATCTTCATTTTGTTTTTGCATCATTTCCTTGTTATAGTTCATCAAGTTTCTTAACTGAATGCTCTCTATAATTTGATTGTGCTGCTGCCATGGACGGCCATGATTCTTGCTTGAAACCACCCTCTATCTAATTCAAAACATTATCAAATTTTGTTTTCGTTACAATTGCCTAAATCTTGTAATTTTATGCCAACAAATCTCTGTTAAAAATAAATTAAAAATTAATGAATTTAGTTGGTATGTAAAATAAATTTTATATCCTTAACTTTATGTAGAATATGTTCGATGATGAAAGCCCTACATCGTAGGGAATGATCATGAGTTTATAAGTGAGGAATACTAACTTCATTGGTATGAGGCCTTTTGGAGAAGTCCAACTCAAAGTCATAATAGCTTATTCTCAATGTGAACAATATCATACCATTGTGGAGAGTCGTGTCCGTTTAACGTAGTAATAATAATAATAATAATGTTGAAGAAAAGAAGTTCAAATTTTATTCACAAAACACCCAATAGCAAAAGTGCCACACGTGTTAGTCTCTTCTCCCACGTGTCATTGCCAAAACCTTAGACTATTGCCACCTCCCCACAACTAGTTTTGGGTTCTCTTTCTTCTTCAAGGTGCAGCTTTCTTCAGCTTTAAAACCTCATTTTTTTGTCAATGAGACAGAAACAGAGAAAGAATTATGGGTTCTGAAACTTTTGTAGAAATCATATTAGCAATTCTTCTTCCACCACTTGGAGTTTTCCTTCGCTATGGCTGTGGGGTGATGTCTCAATTCTTCTCTCCAAATTCTGTTTTCATTTTACAACATTTCTCTGTCTTTTCTTTCAAATTGTTTTTCTGATTGTGTTCTTGTTTTTGATTTGCAAGTGCAGGTAGAGTTTTGGATTTGTTTGTTGCTGACCATATTGGGATATATCCCTGGAATTATATATGCAATATATGTGCTGGTTGGTTAGAAAAGGAAGAAATTTGAAAGCCTAGTTTTAATGAATGCCTCTTTTTTATTTTGGTTTGTAGAAAGTTTGTGTGTTTATGGCTCTTGGATCTATGTTGTTGTAGAACACTGAATAGATATTATCATTTATTGGCAAGTACTGATCTGATCAAGGTTTGTTGCCTCATCTGGGTTTTGGTCTTAGGCATCGCTGTCTGTTCTAAATGGAAGTAATGTTCAAAATATCTTAAAATTGGTATGAAAATTGTTAGTTACCTGGATGATTCAGGAAGATGTGCTTGGTTAGTTTTCAAATTTAATTTAAATTTTGGATATAATAACATGTGTTCAGTTTAGTTTTTAAAACTAAATTGGCAGAACAGTTATCCTCTGATTCTAGTGTTTCTGTACTATCAAAGAGTCCTGTCCCTTTTGGAAGGCCACAGAAAGATAATTTTTGGGGGAAAAGAGAACTTTTTTATGAACTTTGATGGGGTATGATTTGGTTATTATCGATTGTGGTGCCCTTCTTTTCGTGGTTCCTTCATCTAACCTTCATTGAACCTTCATTTGTATGTGCTCCATTGGTAGCAATGATGAAAGAAAAATGAGGTTTGTCCCTCCTGCGTCTGCTTGCTACTCCCTACTCCCGCTTTCTCTTCCTTGATCGTAGTTGATCGTGCACAATATGGGATCTCTACTTGGTGCTTTGGCCCTGAACCCAACCCCATATCGAGCAGTGGATAACAGGAATCCACAGTAATCTATTGTCTAGATACGATTATTAGTCGTTAGACATCTTAAGTATAAGAGTTGCAAGAAATTTGCACTAATCTTTTTCTTCTAAGTCTGTCCAACACGATCAACACCGAACCGAAGTTTGTACTAATCTTTTTCTTCTTCTTGTTGTAAGTCAACCACGATCCCAAGATACGCTCTTCTTTGGTAGAGCCGATGCGATGCGATATTATCGTAGATAAAATCTATGATAAATAGAATGTACGATAAAATATATGACACTTTCCTTGTTGTATGCTAACGATAATGTCAAATTTGTTTGACTTGTTAGCAATGGGCCGAAATTTTGTTTTCAGCAAAAACTGAGCAAGTTGTGAAGTTTCAGAGTACAAATTGAACATTTGAGAATCTTCTTTTCCTTTAGATTTTATCGTCGATGGTCACAACAGTACAGAGATGTCCAATCCAAAACAATTTGAATCGTGCAATTTGACCTGAAGCGTTTCGATCCTGTTACGTTATTTCCAGAGCCAAATTTTGTCATTCCAACAAAAAAACGCCGGCGGAGCAAAATTTCTATCAAATGAAAATGAATGGCTGACATGGGGCTGAGTCCAATCCCCAAGATTGCTGTACATTGGAGCAACAACTATCCAAAAAAGAAAGCATGAAATTTCAAAACCATTTGGCTTCCAAATAAGCCCCTCCATGCTTCACTTCGATGGCTGTGATTGGAAAATGTAGTGTAGAGTGCAAGATGTATCAGATTCAAAAGCCAGACTCCGCCAACAAATCAACAGAAAGTGGGAGGAAAAGCTTGGGCTAACATTAATTTACATTCAACTAGTACTGTCGGGGAGGAACTAAGCTTAAAACATTAAAACCTGTCAATATTTGAGAGTGAAACGAAGGGGGAGAGCCTCAAGTAACCCCGAATGAAACTGATTACCAGATGCAACTTTGAACGATGGTCTGATCACCACCTCTTGGCACGTGTGTCGTTCTCTCGTTAGTGGCACTGTGTTCTTCAGTTGGCTATTGCATTTCCGTATGTCCTGAAATTGTGAAATAATCATATCATACCCAAATAGGATATTGGTAAGATTGCGTAGACAAGAAATACAAGTCCATAAACAATAGTGGATATTAAGTGAAACGGTGTATTACATGATGTTGGTTCTATCTTTGACGTTGAAAGCACTTCATCCCATTCCCAAAAATATATATAACACATATATAAATAATTTGACCATCAAATTAATGTGCGTGGCTGCATAGCGTTACAAAAGCCATTAGTGTTCTTTCAACAACCCTGGAAAAAAATTAAACATTACCAAGGTCAAAGGAAACAGCAGCCTTATGTGTTTTCGGGTGGGGAACGAACAGAGATTTGGACATTCAATAGGAACTTTCTATCCTAGAACGCAAAAACTAGCTTTTATAGAGCATCAGAAACTGGTGGCCAAATGAAGTATGCATACCTGAAAATTAATCTGTGTTCTTTTTCAAAGATGAAGGACTATGTTGCATCTCCTGATCCTTCGTGGGGACAGGATCAGGATGTGTCTCAGAGACTGGGATTGCAGCAAGATCAGATTCCGTCGCCTGATCCTGAGTAGGATGTTTTCCCACAACATCAGATTTTATGTCCTGCTCTTGTGCGGCAAGATTGGATTCTGCCTCCTGGTTAGTGGCATGATCAGCTTGCAATTGTTGCTCACTATCAGATTGTGCATCCTGCTTATTGGATGCAGCCTCACCAGATTTCGCTACAGGCTTCTTATCGGCATCATTATCACATTCCATCTGCTGATTTGTGGCATTGTCACATCGTAACTCCTGCTCCTGACTAGTGGCATTGGCACATTGCAGTTCCTGCTCGTGACTCATGGCATTGTCACATTTCATCTCCTGCTCCTGACTTGTTGCATCATGACATTGTTTCCCCTGCTCCTGATCTGTCGCAATATCCATCTCCTGCTCTTGATTTCTGTTAGTACTATATTGTGCCTCCAGCTCCTGATGTGTGCCATCATCACAATCCACCTCTAGCACCTCATCTGTAGAATTATCAGGATGCAGATCCTGCTCAAGTTCTGTAGCATGATTAGACTGCACATCCTGCACCTGGGATGTAGAAGAGTCTGGCACAGCCTCGTGCTCCTCAGTTGTCAGGGGATCAGGTTGCAACTCCTGTCCTGGCACAGCATCCTCATCATGATCCAACTCCTGGACTGAGGGAACATCTGGCACAGTCCTCAGCTCCTGCATTGAGGCAGAAATAGGCTGAGTCTCCTCTTGAGACTCCTCACCAGTTAAAACAAGTAGATGTGTGTCGTCTTGTCCATCAGTTACAATAACAGATTGACTGGCCTGCTCTTTTGCGCCAAGATCATGTTCAGACTCGTGTTCCTTTGCAGAGTCAAGAACTTGTGTTTTCTGCCCCTCTGTAAAGGCAGGAGTCATCTGAGCTTCTCCTTGAACCTCCCCCATTAAAACAACTGGCTGTCTGTCTCCTTGTTCAAGAGTTGCAATGGTAACAGATTGAGTTGCCTGCTCTTTTGTGCCAAGAGAATGTTGTGTTTCTTGCCCTTCTGTCCTGGCAGGAACAGGTTCCCCCAACGCCTCCTCTGATGTGGCCAGAGGTTCCCTCTCATGATCCTGAGCAGAGGTAAGAACTGGCAACATCGCATTCTCCTGAATTGTGGCGGCCAGGACTGGTTGCATAGCGTGCTCCTGGGGTGTGGAAGGAACAGCTTGCATCCTACCAAGTTGGGCAGTGTCAAGAATAGCATGCGTCTCTTGCTCCTGGATGGTGCCAAGAACTGACTGTGACTCCTCTTGGAGTGTAGCGATAGCTGGCTGTGTCTTCTCCTCCTTGATTGTGGCAAAAACTGGTTGCATATTCTGCTCCTGGGTTGAGGCAGAAACAGAAACGGGTAGCTCATCATGATGAGGAGTCGGAGTATGATCACCTTGCATCTCCCCAAGCTGAGTTGAGGTGTAGTTATGACACAACTCGTGGTCTTGAGCAGTAACAATATCTGATTGTGTCTCCTGGTTTGAAGCAAAAACAGTTTGCAATTCTTGATCGTGCATTGAGGAAAGATCAGATTGCCCCTCATATTGGATTGTTGAAAAACCAGCCTGCATCTCCCCAAGATGAGCAGTGTAATTAGGTTTATTCTCCTGGTCATGGTTCGGACCAAGAACAGATTCCATTTCCTGGTAGCCAATCGAGGAAAGATCAAGTTGCATGTCCTGGTCATGAATTGAAGATAAATCAAGCTGCATTTCATGGTCGTGGAAAGAGGATAGATCAAGTTGCATTTCCTGGAATTGAGGCGTGCTAAGATCGAGATGCATTTCCTGATCCTGAAGTCTGGGAATTTGAGAAGTTTTGAAAAGGGTAGAAAGAACATAGCTGAGCTGGTAATTTACGAGTCTTGGTCCAAAGATGCTAAACCTTCCAGCAGCGCCATAAGCAATTTCTGCATCAGAAGATTTTTTGAAAACGACTCTTGCACGACCACCCTCCCTGTCGACTTCAGTCTCATATTCTCTTAAGGGTCCAAACCGCCTAAACATGTTATTCAAGGTCTTTTCTGATGGCACAGAATCCACCTCAGAAAAGTTCATTACAAGTTCAGCAGGAGATGGCTGATCTACGGAGCCAGTAAACTTCTCAGCTGACATAGCATGATTTCCAGCAGAATGTCGCTTCTTGTACGGCCTCCGACTCCCTTGAAGAGCCTTTTCCGACTCTGGCACTGCAAGTTGGTAATCACGTTTTCTGGTTTTACGAGGGGGCTGAACTTCAGTTCCATTTTGGATAACCCTGTCCGTCCAATAAGTGTCACTCATATCCTCGAATTCAAAAGTTTGTGGTGAAGCAGAAGTAGAAGTGAGTTGTACTCTCCTCTTACTACTGATTCTGTCCATGGCCTCTTCACTTCCAGGCTGCTGCCTCAAAATTAAAGAATCTCGAAAATCGGTGAAAAAACAGACTATTACGTTCAAGAAGCTGTATTCCTTCATTGGATCGCTTGCCACTAGTTGAAGTTGGCCAAGCAATTCATCCAAGGAGGAGTACTCTGTAGGAAAATTTACCCTACCTCTTTGGGCATCATCAAAGTTCTGAAGGAAAACGTCAGATTCAGGGACCGCATGCCCATCAAAGCTACCATCTGGCCTTTGGAATCTCTCACTAATAGACTTGACAATTGGAGGTGTACCAGTCAACTGACTAGCAACCCTACGAATACAATCACCAATTTTGAAGGACTGTTTAAGAGGTGCAGTTCCAGAAACCTTTGCCGAGGATATAGTTTTCCTTCCATCCGACGTGCCAGAATCATCAATAGGATGTTCTGTCTTCCGTCTCTTAGTAGAAGGTGACACCAATGCAGTAGTCGTCCTTGCATCAGACCAATTCTCTCCATCTAGATTACCTACGTCCTCCATAAGTTCATACAAACTCTTTTCTTTCTTCTTTGGAAACATACCATCCTTCAAGTTATGTTTGCGTTTATGATAAGAACTACTCCGTCCTTCCGAACTCTCCTTATATGCGGATGTCTGTGCATCATCCTGGCAAGGATCTGCATGCTGAGCGTAATCACCTGACTGCGTTTCAATGCATAAACTGTCTAACTCACTGTCCGCCAGGCCGGATTGGAATTGAGGCAAGCCACAATGGCCCTTTAGACGATAAAATGCTGTCAGCTGGGCCTTAGCAATCACTAGGTCCAAACGGTCGCCGCCATCAGCTGGAAACTTTGCCAAGTCCCTGATGTATTCAATGAATTTAGCTGGCTCAAATGATGTAGCACTAGCAGATTTGTCTACACCGTACCTTCTAGATGATTCTTCTCTAATACCAGCATTTTCAATAACCTGACATTTAATCATGTCATATGCTTCTCTTGGTGTACACGAACACGCTAGCCCCAATTCATATCGTCGAGAGACTTCTTCTAGAGCGCACTCAACAGCATTCTGGAAAGCTTCTGAATGACTTTGCATCTCTTCTTGGGAGAAATGTGTCCGAAAAGGCTTTAAATGAGACACTTCATTCCACGCAAATGAACAGTCCCCAAAATATGCAACCAAAAAGAAGTCCTTTTTATAATATTTCATTGCCTTATCAGAAGAATCAGATGGATAAAATATCTGACCTGGCCACCAAGGATGGCTCCTCACTTTACCCCACACTAAATCAGAATCAGAAAAATCACCTTCATTCTCCAATGGCAATTGGTAATGAGCTTGATGCAATTGTACTGAACTTTCGGGATTCTCTTCTGCACATTCATCAATTTGATCGTCATCGTTATCAATACCCGACACATCTTCCATTTCTTCCTCACCATGTAATCCCACCTGGTCAACATTGAAACTTTGATCAACTTGCATTCCTTCCACATTCTCAATATCAGCCAGATTACTATCAATAACAGCAATTCCCTCGACGTTCATGCGAATGCCCCCACCTTGTCCATTGGATTGAGGATTTGACTCCATATTCCTGCATTCTATCTGCACATTCAAATTTTGCTCATTTTCAGCAGAAACCTCAATACTTGGCGCCAAAATTTTCCCATCATTTTTAGCTGCAACATTTACCTCATCATCCTGGTTCAGTTGACTCAACGATATCGAATCCACAGCTACAGCTGGATCTGAATTCACCACCTTTTCAGGAACTGTTATACTTGAATCCAAATTTTCACTCTCAAGTGCTTGTGCAGCTATATCCGGGGCTTGAACTGACTTTAGCCCTGCACACTTCTTCCCATAAGTCAAAATGCTATTAGGAAGTTCCCCTCCTCCATCAACTGGGTTCTGATCATCTACAGGATCACTTTTTCCGACATCTTCATCCTCCGTCTCAACTATACAACTCTCCTCCCTGTCCAATTTAGAAAGGTCTTTCCCTGCACCATCATTATGAGAAATAACTTCAGGATTCAAAGCTTTTTCAATGCATGTGTCGGGAGCATTTTCAGTACCATCATGGCCCAGTGAAGTTGAATTTTCATTACCATCTGCAGAAGTCGAAGTTTTGATTCCGGGATTCCGTGCATCCACATCAGAAACCCCAAGTTCTGCACCCTGCTGGTCATCTGGTGTATCAACAATTTGCTCACTTCCTTCCACACTCTTTTGACCTGCTCCTTTTTCCAGACTTTCTCCCCCATCACTTATTGGGGCTTCCTCTGTTACAAGTTCGATTCCCCCACCTGCATGCACTGAGTCATCTCCAAACCCATTGTCTGTGGGAGAATTCTTCGATTCCTCAGAATGAGCCTCCACTTTACGAGGCTCTACATTGTTCAAAACTTTATCATCTGGACTAGTATGAACTAGACTGCCTTGACAGGATACCACCGGAGTATCTACATCCATAGCCTCAACGACACTTTCATCACCCTCCGCACCTTCTTGAGATGATTCTTTAACTGATTCCCCAACCCCTGATACTCCCTCACTTTCCACACCACCAGAGACCCCTACACCAGACTCGTTGAAGGCCCCGGTATCTCCACAAGGAGACATCCCATCCCTCTCCACACTGGGCTCCTCCCCCGTTGAACCACCAGAACCAACCTCATCCAAATTCCCAGCAGCCCTATCAGTACATACACCATCAAAATAAACATCAGAACCCAAAACTTCCACCATAATATCCTCACCACCACCATTACAAGCCGCATCACCCCCCTCCACCCTCCCCACCTCCTCAGACAACGAACTCTGAACCCGTTCCTTATTAATACTAACACTAGAACCATCCACTACATGCTCCCCAGCAGTAACAGTTGACTCTAAAACACCAAGAGAACCATCTCTCTCATCCGGTTCTTCCATGAAAAACAGAATCTGAGTAATTTCTCGAACAAAGGGTGCAAAAAAAAAAAATTGCTCGGAGAACAGCAGAAGCCCTAATTAAGCAAACCAATCGGACTCTAAGAACCGATGAGAATAAAAAATCATAATTTAGAAACAGAAACACGTTGAAACTATAGGTAAACAGAAAATTCAAGTAGCAGAGAAAGAAAACGAGTACCTTAGTGGATCTTCTCAAAAGAATTGAGTTTGTTTGGGAGAGAGAGAGAGAAAGGGTTTGGGGGTTTAGAGAGAGACAAAGAGAGATCCCGAATTTTATTTCGGAACGAAGCTTTGGAAACTCGAAAGAGCCGGGGAAGAAATTTAATAAAAATAATAATCCTAAATATAAATATAAATATATAAAAAAAAAAATGCTTTAGCCTTTTTCCTTGTTTAATTAAATTTCATTTTCCAGCTGATAAATTACAAATTAAATACTAAATTTTATTTCTAAATATGACATTTGTTTTTATTTTAGTGATAAATTTAATCCTAAACTTCCAATTTAATTAAATTGCGTTTTAAACTTAGATGTCTATTGTTTTATTCAAAATATTATTTGAATGTTTGAAAATAAATTAATAACATTATGTTTTTATTAAAATACTAAATAAACAATCATAATAATGGAACCAACCCAAATCTATTTTTCTACTACCAAATTTAATTCATATATTTTCTAATCTATTTAATACAAAGAAATGAGATCTCACAATCCACCTTAGAGTATCCACGGTTCCATATTTAGCTTTAATACCATTTGTAATATCTCAAACTCACCTTAGTAAATGATGATCATTTTAACCCATTGTAACTTTAAAATATGTTTGTTAATAAAATGTTTTTCATACTCTTATAAAAAAATGTTCGGTTCTCCTCTTCAACAATCAAAAGAATTAGAATAGTCAAATTCTTTAAGAAATTGACGGGGGAGCTCTCTTTTTTTAATCCCTTAATTGTTGTTAACTCAAATGAAACTAAACCCAATTATTAAATAATCAAACTTGAGTTGAACTAATCTTATCCATGTAATCAATAAAACAATAGGTAAATTCGAACACTAATACCAACTTAGCATTGAATAATGGAGTTCCAAAGGTAAAGACATAAATAGATCCATCCGCCCATGACTATGCCACGTTCGACTGTTCCTTTTTATACACCCAATTAATGGAAGGGTTTATGCATTACAGAAGAAGAAGAAGAAGAAAGACATTAAAGTTGGGGTAAAGCAAGCAAGCAAGCAAGCAACCAACCAAGCTGCCCATTCATTAAAAAGCAGCCTCTCTGTTCTGTTCCGTTCTGCAACTTTTGTTTTTCAATGTTAAAGAGAGAGATAAAGGAACTGACAAGACTGAATATAGAGAGAGAGAGAGAGAGAGAGAAGGGGCAAAAAAATTGAAATTAATAACAATGAAATTAGTTTATAATTTAATTAAAAGAAGGAAAGAAAGAAATAAAGAGCTACAACAGATCATCAGGCTAAAATAATGTAGTTCTGAGCAGCCCCCCACCCCCCACCTTCTTCTTCTATTCAATTCCTCTGTGCTCTTCTTTTACCATCATCATCATCATCATCATCATCATCATCTTCTTCTTCTTCTTCTTCTTCCCATTGCATGCATTCTCCTCCACCTTTACCTATTATTCCACAACCAAGCAAACTGTTCTTTCTAATATCAGTTTCATTAAATCATACCCACACTAAAGTTTTAAACAAATTATTATATGTTTTTGGTAATTTCACTAACACTTTATTTACAAATCCAGAAAAAGAAAGAATAAAAGTTGATTTTGCAAAAGAGCCCTTAACATCAGGGAATATTAACATCTGGAAAGGGACAGCAAGAGACCACCCCACGACCGGCAGATCAAGCTGGCCACGTGGGACCCAGAGACGCCAGTTGGCAGTGGGGGAGGAGACCCTTCACTAAAATCACCCTTTCACGTGAACCACTCTCATTCTTCTCTCTTTATTTATGGATTTAAACTCCATTTTCATCAAATCTCTCTCTAATTCAGCGTTTAATTTGAAGAATTTAAACAAAAAATGGGGGAAGCGAAGAGAAGAGAGAAGGGACCTGGGGTGGGAGCGACGGAGGCCGGTTTGGACATAATGGAGGAGGGTGGGACCGCCGCCGTGGGACTGGGAGGGTATATGTGGGCGGGCATCCCCATCGCGTGTGATTGATGGTAATGATACAGCGGGTACATTGGCATCAATGTGTTCGCCCCTACCATAGCCTGCCCCGGATATATCTGCCTGTAATGCCCGTTCATGTACCCCACTTTCTGTAATTCACCATGAAACGTCGCCGTTTTATATATTTCCAATAATTCTTATTAATTTAAATTATAATTTAACATGAAATAAAAATGCTTACGTGGTTGTAACTGATATCGGTAGCGACATAAGTGGGGCTTGGGGAATATCTAAATAAAATTATAAATTTACGTTAATTTAAAAAGGGAAATAAAAAAAAGGAAATTAACTGTATAAAGATGGGTAATGTTAGAATACGAAAGAGGTGTAGGATCTTTAAGGTGTACCCGTAGAAAGGGACGGCTTGATGAGGCTGATGACGAAACGACGTCGGGTAAGTCCCCGCCGGGTAGTACCACTGCACGTGGTTTCCCGATGGTGCTGACGTCGTCCTCGGTCCACCGCCGTTCGATCCTTCAATGGCATCACAAAACCAACGTCAGATCTCCACCGTCCGAAATTTCTATGAGAAACTACGAAAACGCCATTGTCGAGTAACGAATTGACTAGTTTCATCATGCACAGAGAGAGGAAGAGAGGAATCGTTTACCAGGATGCTGAGGAGCTTGTGGAGGAGTAGCCGAAGCCGACCTCGAGCCACGTCGAGCTCCAAGCGAAGCGAGATTACAGTTGGCTCGGCGGCCATTGATGATCGGAGCCGAATCCTCACAAGCCTTCTTCGCCGATTCCGCGTCCTTGAATGTAACCTAATTTTTAAATCAAAAAACAGAAATCAACAAAAATGAAATCCAATCGATTCACATTGCGATTCAATGAATGAATTCCAGACTTACAAATCCATAGCCCTTGGATCTGCCGGTGAGTTTATCGGAGATGATAACCGCCTCCAGGATCTCACCGAACTTCTCGAAGTGATCTCTCATAGCTTCCTTCGGTGTCTCCCAAGCCAAACCTCCGACGAAGACCTTCGTCAGCGTAGTGTCGCCGAACAGACCTGCATTATTGTTGCTCATCATCGTCGTTCCGGTCGCGATTCCGGCGAAATGCAAACAGTAGAAATGAAGAAAGCAAAAATGGTGGTGGGGAAGAGGAGGAAGGGATTATATAGTGCGGAGGAAAGGAAGAAGAAGAAGAACAGAGTGGTCTGGAAATAAAGAAATGGAAGAAGACAGAGAGAGACAGAGAGGCGGACAGATAGGCAAATTGCTGAAGGCTATCATCAACGTGAGCACACACACAATTTCTTTTCTTTTTCTTTTTCTTTTTTTTTTTTATTTTTATTTTCTGGGAAATTCTTTTTTATAGGAAATAGAATAATTAATGTGTTTACCTATAAATTACAATTATTAAAATAGTAATAATCTTTAACTTATCAAAACCACACAACTCAATTAATTTCCATATATTGAGTGTACAAATGGGAAGCCTCCAAATAATTTTTCTTGCAAACAACCCTAATTAATTCACCATCAATTACCCATCTTCTTTACTTCAATCCCCATGTCGTTTGGTACCACTTCTTACTATCGCACTCTTGCGGCAGCATGACAGTGATCGTACGACATTTATTTTAACCCAACAAACAAGTCAGTCTTACAAAATTTATACTTCATGGACAATGTCGACGTTTACTCGAGTATCGAGTCACGTTTGAGAGAAATGTTTTAAAAATTGTGAACGAAGAAATCACAAACCAATCATATACAATAACATTTTATAGGTATATTTTACGAGATTTGATATAAAATAAAGTGTCTTAATCATATTACATGATTTTACGGGAGATGACAACGTACGTGTTTGAATTTTGGGAAGTTCCACCGTACTCTTTAATTTGAGAATATTATTTTAAAGTTTTAAGTTGCAGTTGAGTTTGTGACCATGGTGGTATTAACGAGCTTCAAAGTTACCATTTTCAACGGAAATAGTAATTCATGTACAATGAGCTTGATTATTTATTTATTTTTTGTAAGTAGACTTGCACGTTAAAATTATTTGAATAATTTTTATGAACACGACTTATTTAAATATTGAGTTTAAAAGTAAGTTTTAATTGCTTTTGATATCGATCATCATAGAGAATATATTTTAAAAAAAATTAAAATTATAAAGAGGAGAGAGAGAGAGAAAAATGAATTTTAACAAAATTTTAGAAACTTATTTTATAAAAAAAAAAAAAAAAAAAAATATAGAGATGGGAAAGGGGAAAACAAAAAAGGGCAGCCCGTGCAGAGATACGGGCAGGCGGGCGTGGAAATCTTGGACGCAAAATTCATTCATTCATTCATTCATTCATTCGGTTTCTCTCTCTAGTCTCGACAACTCAATCATAGCAATGCACGTGAGAAAGCCACGTGACAAACACAGTCAGCTTTCTCTCTCTAGAATTAGGAGCAACGTGGCCAGCTGTAAGAGAACAGGAGGGGTATTTACGTAAATTCAAGACGTTGAAGGGCAGTTCATCCCATCCCATGCATGAGAGCCCAGCGATTGCCCCAGTGCCTTACACGTTCTCTTTCCATTTCAATATCAATCAATTTTTTTATTTTTCTTTTTAATTCTATTTTAGTCCTTCAAATTTTTTAATTTTCCTATTTTAACCCTCATTTCATTCAATAAACATTTGATGTTTACCAATTGTATCCTAATTTATTTTAATTCACTCTAATTTTCTTTTAAGAATTTTGAAGAAACCACACGTAAAAACTCTCAACTTTTGATTAAGTTATGTTTAAATTAACAGTTTAATCTCAATTCTTAAACATAAACATGAAAAAAAAAACATAATATATTAATATAAATGGTAGGTAATAAATATTTTTTTAAAAAAATTATAGACTAAAATAAGGTTGAAATTAAAATGGCTTTTCTTAGTTGAGGGAGAAAACTAAATACTTTTTAAAAATATAATTGATTTTTAAAATATAAAAAAGAAATATTAGAAAATGTGTGAGCAGAGCCCTGAGCAAGGGGTCATGTTCCTCTGAGCTGGCCATTTCCCTTGATTTTTTTAATATATATATTCCCATTTTTTGCAAACTTACAAAAGGCTAAATGCTTTATTTGAATGAATTAAGGTCTGAGCTGGCTTGGTCTTCTTTCTTGCTTCTGTTTTATCATTACTATTTTTTTTTACTCACTTTTTTAAGTTTTTTAAATGAATACCTATTTGGCATGCTTACTCTTTTATTTATTTATTTATTTATTATTTTTTTGTTGTAAAAGAACAATAAATGTATCTTTATTGGAAGTTATCTTGACCAAGTAAAAATATTTAAATTACTTATAATTCATTACATTATATATATACTAATATTCGAGTACTAACATAAATCTCACTCAAAAGGACATTTTTAAATTTATAAGCAACAAATAAATGTAAACACATTCAAATTAGACTTAAATTCGACCCATATAACTTTAAAAATCTCACATCATTAAAACAAAATGTCACCAAAAATGCCTCATTCTCCTAAATAATTATGTAAAGGGAAAGAACCCCTTGATTATTTGCAACCTCGAGCCAAACCCATATTTCTCCTAGAGAATCTCCTAGTTGTTCCAAACCAACCAGAAAGAGATTCTTTAACCAGAAAGAAATGAGTTAGACTCAATAGAATTTGATCGATCCTTTTTTCTGTCGCTACGTCAAGGTAAAAAATAAAAGAATAGAAGAAGCATCTGACTCTTTCATACAGGCCTCATTTAGCTCGAGGGATATAGCTCAATTGATAGAGCTTGGATCAATGCGATTAAGGGTTGGTTTGGCCACATACCATAGTTGATAATAAACAAGAATGGGCAAGGAAAGGGAGAGGGAGAGGGAGGGGGCATAAACGCTTTAAAGAAGTCGAATCAAAGAGGCATGAAGTGTTAGAAAGAGTTACCAAAACAGAGCTGTGGGATTCATGAATTTCCTTTACCAATAGGGTCCGTGGAATGCGTTGTTGTCCCAATTGGGTGAGGTAAGTGGATTGACAGATGGGAGAGGCCTCCCTCCACTGCTTTCTTTCAATGGAAAACACATTAAGTCAGAACATACATAACAGAATGAGAGAGAAAGAGAAGGGTGTTATGTTGTACCACTGTAAATGTTTCCCTCACCAAAGCCCACTCTGTTTGTGATCTCATATCACGTGCTACTAACGTGACCTCTACTAGTTTGCCAATGGTGGGGCGTATATCCACCACGTGCTCCTACTCCTTGGACGAGTACTGACCACCATGCTTAAACAATAGACTCACAGAAATACATCATCATACACCTTCATTTATCAAATGTTCTCTACTGGATTCTCAAACTAACATATACTCTAAAGTTCGAAACAACAATATCATCGTTCATAAAAGTATAATTACACTGCATGTTCGATGTCGAGATACGAACTTCAAATATCTTGGTCAAAATTACATGTACTATACAGTCGAGTTATACTTGGATCGTCGGCAACAGTAACTATAGTTCTTCAAAAAAAAATTTAAGCCAAATTTCAATGGACAGTTTTTTGGGCAAAAATCTCTCATCTAGAAATGGTCAAAATCATAAACAAACTAGTTTAAGAATCAAGTTGAACAAAAAAAAAAAAAAAAACATATATAAAAGGGCTTAAGCATCGAATCACACAGCTCATCAACTAGTTAGAGGAATTGAAGCATATTACGATCTTACCAAAGTTCTTTTAAAGATGGAGGATTGCTGAGCTGCTTTGATCGGTTTGTTTTCCTCTCTATGATATTTGTTGGTGTAGGGGAACCGAGCAAGATGGTTGTTAAGAAGATTGCAGTGCCCACAACGCCGTGTCTCTCCCGCGCCAAGTCAAAAGAAACTTACAGTTGGCCTACAGTCAGATTCTAGTAAAGCACTTCGATGAAAAATCAACCAACAGAATAAATAGGCATTATGTAATCTGTTCTTTAAGATTTGTGTGAGTAGAGAGAGAGAGAGAGAGAGAGAGAGAGAGAGAGAGAGAGAGAAGAGGGAGGGAGAGAGAGGGTACACGTATCACTTTCTTAATCATTCAAAACCAAAAGAAACAGAAGTGGGAAAGAGAATAATATATTTCCAGTTGCCTACCAAAGCAACTATACTAAATTGAAGGTCCCAAATTTACAATAACTTTAGCTGACGAGAGCATCAAGAAAATCGAAGCCCACCTCAAAGCCCAAACCAAAATCAAATCCAGAACCAAATCGATTGTAAAGATCTATGTAGAAGAGTTTCGACAATCGTGGAAATGCAGGAGATTCCTACTCGTTATTCTGCATTGAAGGAGTGATCAAAATGCTGTCCCTGCAGAACATAGAATGTTGAAAAAATAACGGAGTCAGTGAAAATATCATCAGAAATCGCACTTTAACATCTACAATACAGTTGTTGATCGTATATACATGCTAGCATTGTCTAAATTGAGATGATTCATCAGACAACACTTTAGGCCTCGACCTTATATTATAATTTTTTTTTTAGAAACAAATATATAAAGATGCTATATATTTTTACATATTTACATGCAAAATCTCATACACATCTCAATAGCACTGAGAGTTATTCCACAAAAAAATCAAGAAAAATGCGCTCATTCCCATAATGATTCCAATTCTCCCAAAACCAAAACGTATTTTTCAAGAATAAATCACTGTTGAAGGACCATCCAATACGGAGCAGGACGCATAGCAATTTTTTCCATACATTTTTTTAAAGGCAAAAACCGTGCTGACAAAGTATGCATAGGAGGAGAAGGGGGTAAAAAAGTGAATTTGAGATTAACCCGATAATAAAGGTCCACTGTTTATTTCTCATAATCTACTGGGGATCAATAATGCAAAAATTCGAACAGCCAAGTAAAAATAAACATTTGATCTACCCGACATGAACATCTCAGAATGCAGATAGAATTCACCTAAGTAATTAAAACCAGCAAAACATATTTCATGGTCATAAACTACTAGTGTAAAGGCAAATCAGGAAAGATTAAGATATAGATCATTAGATCAAATAAAAAACAAAATTGACAATATGCAACATGATTACTCAATTTCAAAGAACTTGTCAAAGATTAGATGGGCATTAAAAAGTTAAGAATCAAAGCACAATAAATTTCCATATTTTAACACTTCTTTTCATTCTAGCCCATTTTGATACATCTACAGACTTCCACCTATTTTATCAAGAGACTGTAGTGCTGACCCCATAGTTTTTCATACCAAAAAAAGGGTACTCATAAGACATTTGTTCATGTATGCCGCCATGGAGAAGATTTGTACTCATAACCTTTAGGATACCCTGGTTCTTCGAACTACCAAGCTCAAAATTAGCAAAGGCAGATTATGTCATCATAAATTCATAATCACTGCATCAATGAGAGATCAAATTAGCCAAGCAAGTTCTTTGACTCTATGGTAAAAAGTAATTTAAAGTGGGTAAGGAAAGAAAAGTTCCCTAAGGCTGGTTGTTCCAGAGGCAGAGCTCAATTTGGATATCTGAGACCTGTCACAAACTAATTGATAGAAAGGAAAGTGCTCTTCAATTAATAATGTTAGTTAGGTTGGCGTATAATTTTTTTTTTTTTTTTTTTTCCAATCCTTTGCAGTCTTGTGCCCAAATATAGACTGTAAGAGTGGAGATTCGGAAGACTTAAAGGGGGCCCTTGCTTTTTAAGGGAATGGGAGGACTCTAGGTATACAGGAGTTCAATCTGTCACTCCCATGATCATTAGATGCATGGTTGAGAGATTATAGAAATGTTTCTTCACCATGCATTTGATGATCATGTGAGGACAAGTAACAACCATACTGAGTCAGCCGCTCCTATACATTTAACACGAAAATTTTCTTGGCCTTGTTAAGAGATTTAATATCCTTGCATACAGAAGAAATTATAATATGACCCACTACAGAGGACAAATAGCACGGATAATGGTACAATTAAAGTTATTTTTCTCTCCTAGAGACTGCAATGAATGAATATAACAGGTAAATATGCATATCCTCCCCATCTGTCCCTATTATGACAAGTAGATAGAAAAGTAGTGCAATTCATTTTCTTTTCATCCTAGAAAACCAAGAAGGTGGAACCATGAAAGAAAGATAAGAATTAATATTCAAGCATTCGTTACAAAAGCGAAACCAATAACTATCACATTCAAGTGATGAGAGAACACTGTTCCATTCTTCATTTATAGCTTCCTTCTGAATTAGGAACATTTAAAATCAAATGGGCAGGAAATGGATATGGAAAATTACTAGTGACAAAAAGGGGCTATATAAATATTTACATCTCAGAAAATTTGGTGCTAGGTGTAGGATATTGTTCCAGGCGAATAGTATCTTTATGCAGACAATTTTTCAAGACCATGAAATCTTCTTTCCTGAGTAATCAAACTGTACGACACATTAAGATATGTCCAGAAATTCCTCCAGAATATGGGTTATTTGAATGGTAGAATAATCAAATTTTTATTTAACTATGTATCTTCTTACAAACATTAAATGCATTTCATTTAAATATAAACTGCCATTGGCTGCCCTGGTGAAACAAGGCATATGAAAAAAAAAGTATATAAACTACCTAGGATGAAATCCTACGAGCTTCTGGACAAGCAAATGATATATGAGAAGAAAAGGTAGGACACATATATGAGGGGAAGTGAAGAAACGGGTCTATCTCCTAAGCAACACTCAACAATGAGAGACAATACTGGCAATGTTAAAAAGCTAATAATTCCCATGAATTTCAATCCAATTATTAGCAATGAAAAGGAGGATATTCCTAAATAGCGTGTTGACAAGTTGAGAGAGGAGAGATTATTACTTGAGTGTTAATGTAGGTCAATGCTCCTGGCTGCAAGTACTGCTGCAGATATTTACACCGCATGATAAGAAATGATTACATGTTAAAGAAAGAAATTTCCAATTCATGTTGCCATGAAAATAAATAAAACTTCTCTGTGAAAACAAGATTCTGTGGAAAGTAAGTAAACCTGGGAATTTTGACCAGGCAAGGCTCCAACTGCATCTCTTTTAGCAGATTCTTCACCACCCCTCGAAGATCCTTTCGCATCACACTGGACAAGTTTACATTTAACAAAAAAAGCTCAGTATATACATTTCTCCCAAGAACTGCTTAGGTTAGAGGGGGGGTGGGGGTACAATAAACCAGTAGAATACTAGGTTTAAGAGCTGGTTTCAATTACCTCCAACTGAAGCAACACCATAGCCCCACCAAAAAACCAAAAAAGGGAAGAAAAAAGAAAACAAATGTGAGCACATCATAGTGATGAGATCAAATAAATTAAATAACCTCATTAAAAAAGAAACCGAACAAATTTAATTCAAAATGTCGGGGCATAAAGCATCTCCTGATCAGCTGATGAAAGTTTTAACCACACCCAAATCTCAATCACGATAAGTAATATAAAGTGCGAGAAGAGGTCTAATTCCTTTACTCTGGACGTCTATAACAATCCGCATCAGTTCATGTACAATTAAGTCTCCACACGAGGCACTAGTAAATACAAACCATGTAAAAGCCAGAAATAAGAAACAATTTTACCTCACGGTACCTAGTAAGGTACGACTTAAGCGGATCAATATAATCCTCGAAACCCAACGTTGCCATGGCCCAAAGCAAATCATCGCCATTAATAGTCTTCCTCTTCTCCTTCTGGCACTTATCACTCGCCCTACAAACAAAGACAAAGCGAATTACATCCAATCCAATCCAATCCAATCCCCCCACCTAAAAAAAAAAAAAAAAAAAAAAAAAAAAAAAAAAAAAAAAAAAAAAAAAAAAAAA